TTTAGCCAAGTCCACAACCTATTTTCGATTTAGCGAAGTCCACAACCTATTTTTTCATTTTGCTAAGTCAACAACCTTTGTTAACAATTGCTCTTTGTTTACATTTTATGGAGTCAATGACACCTTTGTAAATTGGTTAAATCGGACTCTGTAGCATATAGTTCGTAGTTTGTATGGCAGCTATATGCTATAGTGGCCCAATCTGAATAATTTCTTCAGAGATTGCAGCAAAATCAAAATCGAGAATGGATTGAAGTTATGACGACTATTGGCGTTGTGTGGGCATGGCAGTGGTGGGGTTACGCCCATTTACAAAAATGAACTTCTTATGGTGCCAAAAAACAATCGGATTTCAACACGTCTCATCATCCTGATCCTTTATATATATACATATATAACTCTACATCTAACTCGATTAGTATTAGCTGATAGAAACAACCGTTAAATGAACAAAAATATTATACTCTGTGGCAACATGTTGCAAGAGTATAAAAATACTAAAAGCGCGATAAACCAAGCACTAAACAAGCCAGAGACATTAAGTTTTATCTCTGGGATGGTATGAGATGACTTTATAGGAGCGTGGCACAGCCTACTTTTAGGTGAGAACCCATATCTTGGGATCTGCTTAACCGATTTCAACCAAATTCGGTAACGTTCTTTTTATATTTCCATGTCATAGTGCGAAAATGGGCGAAATCGGACTATAACCACGCCTATTTACCAAATAACACCATTTTCAACTCCATCTGATTATTTCACTTCCCACTATGCATATCAAGCAACAATGATTATTTGGGGGTAAAACTTTGCGTGAATAATACGTTTAAAGTGCCACCTTGTGACCAAAAATTGTCTAAATCGAACCAAAACTGTTCAAGCCCCTAGGTATTGAATATGTCAACCCCAGTGCCTATAGTTGACTTTTTACCGAAAACATCGGTCAACATAGAACAAGGCGGCAAGATGCACAAAGAAATCTATAACGAGTATACCATTTGACTTTGCGAGAGTATAAAATGTTCGGTTACATCCAAACTTAGCCCTTCCTTACTTGTTATATATTGTATTTACACATTATACATAATTGGCAATGTTGCAAAAAGTGACGTTTTGTACATAGTATACGAAAATCCACTTAATGCCAAAGTGATCCAATGGTGATGTCTTCGCTGGCCTACTGCAACTCATTCAAAACGAACAACGCTTTTCGGTAATTAAACGCATCGTCAAATATGGTACACCCCTTATGCCACAGCCCCCGAAAAAGTAAGCGCCGTGTACTTGGGCATAGTAATAACAATGACGACTGGCGTCAGTAGCTGTCATTAAATGTCTGTTTGGTCAGAAATAGACGATCTCTTAGTCCACGTTACGTTTCCATTATCCAATGGCCTATGCGGAAAAATATATCATAATATAATTGCAGTAACTGTAAATTCATATGTGTATTTGTGTTCATAGATCGATCAATTAATAAGAGTAATTCTTAGGGCAACCTGTTGATATATGTACATATGTATAGTAGGTGTTCTACAAACAAATACAGTACCTGCTTATCTATAAAATGAATATTACTCATGCAACATGTGGTTTTAAGATGTTCAGGGTTTTTATATGATTGTGATTACTGTACATGATTACAGTTACTAAGTACGAGCCAAATACGTTGTTTAAAATTTATATCTTCGGATGTATAAATAATAACTATCTTATATATAATGTGGCACCTCATACATTTAGCAAACGATTTTAGCCTTTACAGTGTATCTAGAACTCTCGTACATTTCAGGGAAATACCGCTGCTATTCTATTTATATCTACTTGTATGTGTGTTCGCCTTAAGGTTTTTGAACTCATTGAAGAATGTAAGCTAAACAATAATTCACTTTACTTATTAACATATTCACATTATTGGCTAGCTGGAACCTGACTGTTCGTTGTATTATTTTCTTCCGCCCATATCCAAAACCAAATTAACACTGTTGTTTCGATGCAAAACTATAAATACACTAACAAAGTAAATATACATGTATACTTGTCTATATATAGTACATACATACCTATAAGCAATAATTTGATTAAAATCATAATACTTAATCAATATGTGACGCACTCCCGAGTACGTCTTTTATGTACCTAACATAATTTGTAATAATTGAGGTTACGAGTCTAGATTATTGGCACTTAAAAACGACTTTATAACTTACCTTATATTCCGAAGCCACATGTTAAAATCAAAAGTACTTCCCAGCATACGCAGTTCAATAACATTTGTGAGTCACACGATTTAGTCTAATTTAGCAGAATTTTCTCCCAAAGTACCCAACAAGATTTTGTTTTAGTTATGCCTCTACGATATTCACTCCATATGCACACAATTCTCCATATGCATGTTCATATGTATGTAGATATTTATAAACTTAAATGTATCGGTATGGTCTTATCACAAAATCATCTCAATATATGCACACGCCTTTTGTCATACAAGCATATCTGCTATACGAACTTTGTTGGTAGTATGCTCGGAGTTAAGTTTTTAAAACTTTATGCATATCCGCCCTTGTCTCGACGCACGTGTGCCAGAAAATATATTTAAATTGTAGTTTATATCCATAAATACATACATATGGGCATATTAGGGTGTGTTGCAGCACTTGAACAAGCATATTTACTCATAGGGTTGTGAAAGGTACTTGAGTCATATTGTGGTATTTGTACATAATACCTCTATATTGATTAAATCACAACAAATGTGGAAATTAGAGTTTTAAAGATGAAAATAACATATAAATGATTTTTAACGCGGAACCGATACTTAGAAATTCTCAATGGATATTGTATAAATATAATGTTTCTGAGCTTCCATCCGATTACGAAGGACAACTGAGCTTAAGTGAACCTATTACTTAAATACATACTCTTTCGAGATAGCTTGAAAAGTAATGAATGTTAGGATAGATAGATAGATAGATACATTAGTTTTGAGGCACGCATCGCTTCTAAGTCATATCGACACATCTAGCCCCAGCATGTTGATAAACTCCAATATTCTGCTGGGTGGTTTACCATAGAAAGTAAACATAATATTACAATTAATATAAATATTTTATTCAAAAATTATTAATATAATATTATATAATTATTATTATTGCATTGACTTTTCGTTTTCTGATATGTACAATAACTGATTTTCTCGTTTACTTTCAGTTGCCGTCTATATCGCCATTAACCTTACAGAACACAAACAACTAATGATACGTATCTGTTGTTCTGTCGTAAAGCATGTCCAGTGTTACAGAGCACAGAGGTTGTCTTTTACAAATTGGAGCAGATCATAGCTCCACTTCAATTGCCGATCGATCGCTAAAACTCTTCTTTGCAAAGCATCGTCGAAGAAGACAAAAAAGCGCGCAACCTAGCTCCAGCATACAAGAGGACGGTCGGAGTGTTGTTTGAGGTGACATAGAGTGAGCGTTGTAGGAAAAATGTCCTCACGGCGCAGCTCATTTCGAAAACGACAAAAACCCCCTTTCGAACGATTCAAAGATAGATGTCGACAATTTACAGCTTTTCTGTTTAGTAATGTTGGCATCATACTCCTTGTAATAATCTATACCATTGGAGGTAATTCGAAAATCATTCAACTATGTCCATGTATTCAAACATATTGTGGATTTTCTTTTCCTTTATTTACCTCAATCGCATTGACTATATATAGGTGCCTTCATTTTTCAAGCAATTGAATTATTCGAATACGAAAGACTCAGTACACACAAAACTATAAAACCCAACATAACGGGGAAATGCCTGCAAAAGATCTGGGATATAACTGTACAAAATATAAGTTTCTTTGACAACAATTATTATAAGGAAAGGTACGTATTAACAACTCGAAATTTCTATTGTGCCAACATTTGTACATCAAAGCCTTCTCCCCTTCAATCTTATAGAGTTAACGAAATTTTACTGGAATTTCAACGGGAAGTTGCACATGAAAACTTAATTGATCCTGATATTGACAAACAGTGGAGCTTCTCGGGTGCTTTCCTCTATTCACTAACGGTTATAACTACTATAGGTGAATACCATCTTCCAGATTGCTACAGTGAACTTTCTCAACATGTTGCATAAAAGAATAACCGCTTTATTCATCTAACATACTACAATAATTAAAATAGATATAGAGTTAGGTGGGAGTTTCTACGCCCACAAAATGGATACAAAGAAAAAGTGCTATAACTTAGTCACTAATTACCACTGCACAACTACGTGATTACATTGCTATAAGTGTGAGTAGGATTATATAGTAAAGCTACATGTAGATCAAATAAAAGATTGAACATTGAATTAGAATTTTATATCTCAGAAACCACTTGACGAATTTTACCCAGCCAATTTGGTTCGTAACGTTATCATTACGTCCTCTCGGCTTGGGGATAATGATTCTCTTATTTCAGTTTAAGATATATCGTAAATATTGATTAATATGTGCGATCTCGTCTACATTAACGTTGGTGCCGTCAAAATAGTAAAAATTCGATATTATGCACTTATGCCAGGACTTCTTCCAATCGTCAAAACATTTCTCAAACTCGCTTTTTAGCCTTTAGCTCTTTTAACCTTTTAAGGCTCAATTTATTTTTGGAAATAGGAAAAAGTCACGCGGAGCTATGTCTGGCAAATATGGAGTCTGGGGCATCATTACAGTATAGTTTTTGGTGAAGATTTCAGAAACAAGCAATGAAGTGTGAAATATAAGCAATGAATACAGCTGAAAATTTCAGCATGTATTGTATGTATGCATATCAACATAATTCAAAAACACTGTCTAAACACATTTCGTACATCTTGAACTTATTGTGGTTTGGTGGTAAAATCGAGCCTTTAGCAACATATACCAAGAATGATTTACACAACTTTCATTCTTACAAATTGCGAGAGTATTTAATGTTCGGCTGCGATCGATTTTACTGTTTCCTTGTTATTATACCCTTACGACATGTCACTATAGAGTATAATAGTTTTATTCATCTAACGGTTGTTTGTATCACCTGAAACTAATCGAGATACAAGTAGATATAGGGTTATGTATATATAAATGATCAGGATGATGAGCCGAGTTGCAATCCAGATGACTGTCTGTCCGTCCGTCCGTCTGTCTATCTGTGCAAGCCGAGCCTTAACTTGAGTAAAAATTGAGATATCGTAACTAAGCTCCAAATTACGAAATAAAACTGTAATCTGGTACATAAGATTGCAGAGGCACATGTGGGCTGAAAATTAATAAATAATGGACATGCCCCTACCTTCTAATAGGTTAATGTATATATCTCCCAAACCATCCAAGCTACATCACCCAAAATTTCACAGGACAAATTCTTTCGACGCCTCTTACGACAGTTTGAAAATAGGTTAAATACTCGACCAATTTCAACCAAATTCGGTACATAAGATTATTATGACAATTCAATCTTACAGTGCGATAGTAGGCGCGAACGGATAACAACCACGATTACTTCCCATAAAACACAATTTTAAATTCCACCTGATTCTTTTGCTATACAGAATACAAAGCAAATACCAATGCATATGTCCCCTAATGACTAAATATTGTCAAAATCGGACTATAACTGTTCAAGTCCCTAGATAACGAAGATGTGCCTGCATTTGATTTTTTACCGAAAATATTGGTCAATCTGTCACATATATTATTAATGAAAATTATAGGACATATTTTGATAATAACAGTGCATCTTTGTGCCTAAAATGGATCAAATCGAGCAAAAACTTGGCCAAGCGCCGTTCTGTGTGTTATTTATATCTTTATGAAATTCCTTAAAAATATGTTAATATTACAATGTAATACGATATGACATCGCTTTAATGATATCTCCATTTATTTTTTCATTCCGCAGGTTATGGCAATATTTCACCAAAATCGGATTGGGGCAAATTAGTGACAATTTTATATGCAATTATTGGTATGCCGCTTTTCCTTTTATATCTATCGAATATAGGCGATGTTCTAGCCAAATCCTTCAAATGGATTTACTCCAAAGTATGCCTGTGCCGCATTTGTCCGGGTGTTGCAAGGCGACGAATCATACGGGAACGAAGGAAACTGCGTCAATTGGCTATGTCTAAAGCGGTAAGTTTGAAACTAAGCAACAGACACTATTTAAATAACTTATTACATAATAGCTGCAAGACATGGAAAGTCATCGGTGTACGAACAGCAGTAGTGACAGTCGGAGTAGTAACAGCTCCTCGAGTAGTTACTACAGTGAAGAAACTGAAACTTCTACACAGAGTATGAGTGCACTGGAGAACTTTGAGAAAGAGAATGATTCCGACATTGAGAGAGAAATACGAATGAATACTGACGAAATAACTGTGCCGCTAATGGTCTGCGTAGTCATAATGATAAGGTAGTCTATAGTTTTTAAAAATATATAATATATTAAAATCGGCTAAAGCAATTTGATTTCCCAGTTATATATTAGCTGGAGCTATTTTGTTCAGCCGGTGGGAGGCATGGGACTATTTGGATGGCAGTTACTTCTGTTTCATATCGTTAAGTAGTATCGGTTTTGGCGATTTGGTGCCCGGCGAACGGGTGGTATACTTCCAAATATTCAAGAATTACCAAGAAAACTAATCCGTTCTCATTTCCAGATTACTGCCGATAAAGACAAAGTGGAGGTTAGTTTTATACTTTGTGCTGTTTATCTTCTACTTGGTATGGCGCTCATTGCTATGTGTTTTAATTTAATGCAGGTACATTATAACCCAATATTATTCAATGAGATGAGAAAATTTCTCCTTTTCAGGAACAAGTCATTCATAATGTGCGCGCCATAAAGCGGGCCTTTAAGTCCTGCTTTGGTTGCAGAAGATGACACTACGTTAGACGCATTTGTTATGTGTACAGTAGAATAAATCGTGATACTAAGTTGCAAAAACACTATTGAGTAATATATGTAGATTTATTTTATTATACAATAAATATGTATAACTGTTTAAAGATAGTAATATTCAATAAAATAGCAATCCAAATGTGTTCGCAAGCGAAAAGAAAGAAAGAAATAAAAATAGGTGTTTTTACGGATATTAATATACCCATTAAATGTTTTTATTCATAATTTTTTGAAATATTTTTAAAATAGTGTGTTTACTTATAAAACTTATTTGGTCAATATGCACATGCGTATAAGTATATATATTTATCTTATAACACATATTAAACGTACACATCTAAATATTTACCACAATAAATAAAAGTCGAAGCGACTAACAGTTAAATTAATTAAGAGATTCAGTATAATTTGATCTACAAACCATGGTAATATAATACCCATATTCCAAAAAAGCAATTTTGCGTATCGGAAACATTTAAAAGAGGATATATTCTTACAAACAACTATAATTTCCTAATTACTTTATTACATTTTGCATATATAAAAGTAACAACGAGCATAATAGATGTTAAACATTTCTTGGTTTGCGGTGAAAATATTTAATAACTACATTTATTGCAAAATGGCAATATTGACATACCTCTATTGCAGTTTATGTAGTCAAAATAGTTTCACTAAACGGAGACAAAGTTACTCGTTGAAATTCTAGTAAATATAAAAATAAAAAAAATGCACAGACACATACTACATATCATAATCCTAAAGTACATTAAATATCATCCATCAAATTTACAATTATTGCCCAAAAATTATTCTTACTAATAAATGAAGTTCGTCTACATTTCAACATGACTTTTGTTGAGAAGACCATCTCAAGTGAGGTACATGTGAAGTGCGGTTGGATGATTGTATTGCATTCGAGCACGCTTTCTCCATCATAGCGGCTACTGTTACATTACTTGGCGGCAATTTCCGATCGATATTCACGTCTCGGTGTTCCCGATTTCGACTTTCTTCTACTTGTTCCAATGGCGGTATTTTACATAAAATTTTATATTTTGGACATGTAGACGACGCCTTGTTCACGCAGGCCTTTTTAAATTGTTGTGATAGCTTTGAAGACATCACAGGTCTACTAGGTGCCGTTAGCATATCAAAAGCAGTTTTTTTATTTATGTCGTATTTCTTTCGATCTTTCGCTGCTGTTGCGAAGAATCGATCCGGACTTTTCGGACGTAAATGAGCCGTAGAATATTGCTGCTGCTTAAATGTTTTGGGTGTTATAGTTGTTTTGGGATCCACGATTATCTTCCGCCTCTTTATTTCCAGTTTGTATGAACCAACAGTTCCTTGTGTCGAAGAAATTTTTTTCAAGTTTCGCACTTTCTTGACACTACAACTAGAAGGTAAACGTGGCACATTAATGCCATGACGAGAGTAAGTTCGTACAGGCGTCAGACACTTACGCCACTTTGTAACTGTTCCTGGAGTTGAAATACACGCTTTCTTTGTGTTAGTTTTCATCTCATTTGGTGATTCAAATCTGGGTGATAAGTTTGGAATATCTGGTATATTAAAGCCAGACCCAGAGTCACCACAATTTTCATTTAAATGTCTGTCGATTTCTGATTGTTCACATTGTATACGTACTGTTTTTGTACATGGCGTTTGGACACTATTTCGTCTTGCCAACTGAACGGGTGCCGACCCTCTTGCACGCAACAACTCTATTGTTTGATATGCTTGAGCTAAAGTGCGTGGACGTTGTGAATAATTTTCTTTATTTGTGTACTTCATTTGTTGCTTTATTGTATATGAAGGAGTTGGTGACGGAGCAGGTGCAGGTGTGCTAAACGCTAACGGCGAACGTACCCGATGTATTTCGTCACCGCCCTGTAGGCGCCATGTTCTCGATGGTGATACACTATCTCTTTGGTTTTCTGCTGTTCTCATTAGTTGATCAGTAGTTTGTAATTGACGACGTTTTCTACGAGTCAAATTTTTTGTCGCTAACGAATTCAACATAAAACAGCAACGCCTACTAGGTATAATGTTCTGAAAACTAATGCGTCCATTCTGAATTTCCGGAACAAATATCTCAGATTCGAAACCATTCGCCTCGACAAGAACTACATTATTACCAGACAACAGCTTTATTCGATACTCCACTTTGGAGAAGTCTTTCTTCAAGGACATCACGAACTTGAAATTTTGACTTACAGAAGAGATTAACAATTTAGTTCCAGCAAATTTTTTGTATTTTTGTAAAAATATAATCACCCGTCCTTATAAATTCAATGAGAAATGCTAATTTGGAAACAAATCAAAAATTCTAACGTAAATAAATTTGACAGCTGCATTTCGGTATCGGATAGGTAAAAGGAAAACATAAATATGAGTTGCCACTTATATTGTAATCGTTACGTTTGCCATTGTCATCAATCAAACGATTATTGTGGATGGTAAATTACGATATTAAAAATTTATCACTTCATTTGTCGTCCACTTTCATCATATCAACGTAATCCTTTACTTAAGAATATTTTTCTATCGCCATTCTACCAATAAATCTTTTGGACTAGTATAAAAATATTAATGCAGTAAATACTATCCATAAAACTCACATCAAAAATGTTCCTTCTCTTTTTTATTTGCATTAAAAATTCCATTTTATAAGTTATTTAATAAGACTGTTAAAAAAAAGAAAATTTATTTTCACTTTTGGGTCATTTATTGCTATTTATTTGGAGACTAAATGTGAACCCTCTTGAATTTTTTTCCCAGATACCATCTTATTGTCACAAAGCAACAAAAACTAATCTGGCAATGACTATTTGGATTGCACGTGTCAATAAGAAAAATGTCAAAACAATTAATATTTTCGAGTTTAGTTGGTAATTTTTAAATTCAGTAGATATTTTACTTTCAAACAATGGATAATGATGAAATGGATTTAGAATATGTCGAAGCCGAGGATGACGAGGACGCCGGCGAAGAAGGAATGGAAAGTGACAATGAAGGAGAAACAACAAACGAAGCTAAACACAAAGAGGTATACCTGCCAGGTAAACCTTTAGAAGATGGCGAAGAGCTCGTATGTGATGAATCTGCGTACATAATGCTGCATCAGGCATCAACCGGAGCGCCATGCCTTAGTTTTGATGTAGTGCCCGATGAATTGGGTGCCGGTCGGGAGAATTTTCCCTTAACCGCTTATATGGTAGCTGGAACTCAGGCAGCCCGTACTCATGTCAACAATTTAATTGTCATGAAAATGAGTAATTTGCACAAGACGCAGGAAGGTGGTGAGGATGAGGAAGATGATGAGGAATTGGAGGATGATCAAGACGACGATAACGATCCAGATGAAAAAAGAAAACCACAAATGGCATGTGCATTGATAAAGCATCAAGGTTGTGTAAATCGTGTACGTGCTCACAGATTAGGCAATACCGTATATGCAGCTTCGTGGAGTGAATTGGGAAGAGTGAATATTTGGGATATATCAAAACAGCTTCAAGCAGTTGAAGATCCCCAACTACTAAAGCAATATGAACGTGAAGTGGTTGATGAGACTGTGCGTCCAGCATTCACTTTCAATGGTCATCAGCAGGAAGGCTTCGCAATTGACTGGAGTATATGTGCTGAAGGTGTTCTCGCAACGGGTGATTGCAAGTAAGTAATTATAAAAGCCAACCTAATAATATATGCATTGATATAAATTAAATTTTTAATGCATTACAGACGTGATATACACATTTGGTCACCTCTGGAAGGGGGCAGCTGGAAAGTTGACCAGCGTCCACTGGTGGGTCATACTGCATCTGTGGAAGATTTGCAATGGAGCCCCAATGAGGCCAGTGTATTGGCATCCTGTTCAGTCGATAAAACGATACGAATTTGGGATTGTAGAGCACCTCCCCAGAAGGCTTGTATGCTCACATGTGATGATGCACATCAAAGTGACATTAATGTTATATCCTGGAATCGCACAGAACCATTCATTGCAAGTGGTGGCGACGATGGTTTCCTACATGTTTGGGATTTAAGACAATTTCAGTCAAAGAAGCCAATTGCAACATTCAAACACCATACTGACCATATTACCACATTGGAATGGAACCCTAATGATGCTACAGTATTTGCGTCAGGTGGTGATGATGATCAAATTGCTCTGTGGGATTTGGCGGTAGAAAAGGATATAGACCAAGAGGCAACACCTAACGCATCAGAACAAACACAAAGCGAAGATGAGATAAATAAACTACCACCGCAGTTGCTATTCATACATCAAGGACAGAAAGAAATAAAAGAGTTGCATTGGCATCCGCAATTGCCTGGTGTAATATTGTCCACGGCGCATAGTGGATTTAATGTTTTTCGAACAATCAGTGTTTAATAATAAAAATTCTGAACTGACAAATATATGCATTTTATTTTTATTGAGCCATATATTATTACTGTAGTGGTATTCTTTACTCAAACTTTTTACGTATTCTCGAAATTCAGTTACCTGTATTGTCTTATTTTGGCAAACTGATCAACAGTCTGTGGCATCTTTAGCATAATATGTTAAACACATCTAAAAAAAATTCTAAGTAACAGTCTGTGTATAATTGATTTCCACGTCGTCTTCAAGCATTGCGATATTGATAAGATGACGCATAGTCGGCCGTCCATGTGGACAATTCTAAAGTATATGTAAAAAGACAGAATTACACAAGGATTAAAAAATGGATGGTTCTGTAAAACTGATTTAAATTAATTGTAACATAAAATAGTGTTAATTGTAGATAACTCTATGCATACATATATAAATTAAATTGCGATATGTATGTTATCTGCTCACTCGTTAAGCCATGGCTCAATCAGTTCACAGATGGTGACTTATTTTAGATGATAATGGAACTCTACGGAGAACTGAGTACAACAACAAATTTTATTTACATATACTTGTACATATGTATGTTTTAAGGTAAAATTACACGTACATCGAACAATCCCGCATTCTTCTACCTGAATATCGCTGTGAATACCATATATGTATATGGATCGGAATGTGTTATATCACAATACATTTAAACGGGAATATTTTGCTTAGCCCAATGTAGAAATATATAAGAATATAATATATATGTATAAAAATATATTAAAATAATATGTTTAATAATAACTCGCAGTGAAATTCCATTGCTCTTGCCTTTGTACAATTTTTTTGTAATAAGTACTAAGTATTTGTATTATATTTAACTATTAAATATTTACACATCCAACAATCTTGGAGCCCGCTATGTGGCCAGCATGAAATTGTCTTATCAATATGAATAAAAAGCCTCACGTTTGATTCAATGGGATCCAACTTTCACAATTAAATAGCCAACGTTATCAAATGAGCACTTCAGCATTTATCTTAAATGGATAAAAAAGCGAGAAAGGCTAATCTAATGCCAATTGCGTGTACGAAATAGTAAATCACAGATTAAATTACTAAGTCTCATAGAGTTAGCTGATAGCAACCACAACTGTGAAATAAATAAAAATCTCTGTTCGTCACGAACAAAGTCACACAAAATGAGCGCGTCACTGTGTGAAGAAGGGGCCTACAAAATCGCTGCGCCAGAAAATAAGCAAGCGATAAAGCCAAATGAGGAAGAACGCCTGGTCGATCAACAACAGGATAATGTATGGTTTATTTTAGAGTTCAGATTCATTTAATGTTGTTAAGCTATGTGTATTTCAGGCAGGACAATGGACCAAGCAGCTGGCCTTTGTTGGATACGGTGCAACCATAGGTTCAGCAATTCCTGCGGGTTATTGCGTTGGTGTGATGAATAGTCCTGCAAAGGTTTGTGCACCAGCAAAGAAATTTGTTTCTAAATCATGAATCTTTCTTTATTTCCATTATTTATAAATACGTATGTATATATTTTTGCAGTTTATGCGCAGTTGGTGTAATCAAACGCTGATAGAGCGTTATGACTGGCACCTGGGAGAAATGGGTAACAATATTTTATGGTCAACGATTGTTTCGATTTTCTTAGTTGGCGGTGCAATAGGATCTCTTACAGGAGCAAAAGTGGCCAACCGTTTCGGAAGGTAACGTTCATGTAAATAATGTATAAAACTGTAATCGAATAATTATGACAACAAACATCAGAATTTGAACTGATTTTAAATTTTGTTTCCATAAACGCATAACTGATTTTCCGCAGTTAAGTTACCATATTCGTTCGATTTTGTATTTTTGTGCTTCTTGATAGACTAAAGTAAAAGTTACTTTTCTGTTATATTTGAAAAACATCTGTATATAGTGGCATCGCTCTATAGCCGTTTGATACTAACACACAAGAAACTTCCGTATTTCAATCCCGCTAAGTCCTTTCCTTACAGAAATCACTTAAATTAATTTTTGAATATTTTCTGCTAATCAAAAAATGACACATATAAAATATAAAAGTGTATTAAATTCAATCCTCTACTTTTTTCAGGCGTAGGAGTTTTCTCTACTGCGGTGTGTTCTTTATCATCTCAGCTATGCTTTTCTACACTTGCCGCATGCTTCGTTCGGTGGAAGCGCTTATTATTGCCCGTTTTCTGGCGGGCCTAGCATCAGGTTTAACAACGGCGTGTTTGCCTATGTACCTGTCAGAAGTAGCACCACTATCGATGCGCGGTGTTTTAGGTGTCTTCTGTCCGATGGGCCTAACCGCCGGCGTTGTCATATCACAAATATTCAGTTTACGAGGCGTCTTCGGTAATGCTGATCAATGGCACTTAGCGATCAGCCTTTATATTGTTCTAGTGTTAATATGTTATGCACCTATGAACTGTTATCTAGAAAGTCCGAAATGGTTATACATTATGAAAGGCGATAAAGTTGGCGCGCGACAACAACTAGAAAAGTTACGTGGAAACGTTACTGAGAATGCGATTAATAGAGAGATTTTGGAGATGGAAGCTGAAGCGAATGCAAAAAATCAAGTCAGCAGTTATAAGGCCGTGCTTAGTGATCCTAAGCTCCGCTTACCATTGATCATCGTTTGTGCTTATCAAGGCGGTCAACAATTGTCTGGTATTAACGCTGTGAGTAAAGTTTTTATCATTATGAAAGATAGTAACGTTTAAATAAAGAATTAAGACACCTATACATTAGGTATTTATGTCTCTTCTTCCGTACATTTAGGCAATTTATATGTTAATATGTATATCATAGATATTTATTTGGTTGCATACTTAATTTTCCAGATTTTTTACTATTCGGTCTCTATTTTTCTGAAAGCTGGGTTATCTGCGACTGCTGCCGAGTGGACTAATTTAGGTGCTGGTAGCCTTAATTTGGCAATATCATTAATTGGGCCATATTTAATGGCCCGCTTCAATCGTCGTCCACTTTTTCTTTTCTCAACGTTTTTTAGTGGAGTCTCTTTGATGGCATTTGCACTATTGCTCTACTTTATTGTGAGTATTACATCGTCTTGTTCAGTTGAACGGCTTATTTAATTATGATTTTCTCGTTTTAGGACTATGTCCCTTGGTTCGCAATGGGTTGCATCGCTTGCATATTTCTTTATATTTTCTTCTTCCAGTTTGGTTTGGGTCCCATTCCATTTTTCATTGGATCTGGTAAGCAATTATGCATATCATAAAGCAAATATGTAGAGGTCAAAATAAACGATTGTTGTTTTGGTCGTTTTGTACTCTGTAATATTGGTTGATAGACACCTCTAAGGAAGACTCTCCAAGTTTGAGCTCTTAATTTTGGCGGGAAGGTTCTCCGACTAACGGTTTTCTATTTTTTTCTTATTATCAGATAGAAAAATTCATAACTCACTTCCAACTACTTTAAAACATATAGAGATGTCATAGGATTGTATGCTCTACAAAATAGTCTTTTACGGTTTTTTCGTAAACCTAACGGTTTAAGAAATATTAACGTTTGAAGTTTGACTATTTTACGGCCAATTTCGTGTTTTTCTTTAGAATTTTATAACTCAATGAAAAAACATAATTTTACGTTAAATCGGAGAGCCTTTCTTAAAGGAGTCTATCAACCAATTCTTTAGAGTACGAAGTTGTTTTTTTTTACCCACCCTAATATCTGTTTACTTTATATTTTTACAGAACTCTTCGAAGTGGCTCCACGCCCAGCTGCCATGGCTCTTGGAAGTGTTTCCTCTTGGGTATGTAATTTCATTGTGGGCATGCTCTTTCCAACACTACAAGAATTATGGGGCTCTTTGGTGTTCATACCTTTCTCCTTGGTCTGCACTTTGCTTTTCATACTGACCAAACGCTATTTACCGGAAACAAAAGGGCGCGATCCATCGCATGTTGTACAATTGGTGGCGAATGGTTTTAAATCGAATATACATGAAGGCAAATAATTAAAACTTAAGCTTATGTAGATACATTTGAGCATATAATAAGCATTGCTTATTATACTTATATATTACAAACTAATTTTTTTAAGTTAAAGATATCAACGTTTGTCTTTTTTGAGTTTGACTTACCCAAGGTTGTTCAATCTCTCCCATGTGCGTAACTAATTTCTTCATTGTAGCACGTTTTAAGGCCATGCCAATCATTACCGATTTGCGACACGCTCGCGATGCAAACATGTCGCGTATCCGTGATGGTCGGCACACACTTCCTGGGGGAGCATCCTGAAGCATGAAGAGTAACTCGTCAATATCTTCCTTGCCAAATTCCCAACGCTGGCTAGAGGGTTTACGCAGTAATTTAACTCTTTTAGTAGGCGGTGCTAAATCGAAATTGACAAAGAAATATAACATAAATTAATGTAGATTATATTTTTCTTATTATTTACCATTTCCTACTGTGTTATGATCAAGACTACTTACCACTTTCATTGATTTCAAATTTGAAGCCGTTTTTCTCAAACACCGGCAGGTGATCTAGCAAGAGCATCTCATTGGCCGCCGTCAGTTCGAGTGGCTGCGGTACAGCCAGTGGTTGTGATTGCATAACCGTAGTTCGTTGCAACACTTCAAAGTTATATTTCTCGTCAGTGGCGTGTTGATCGATGATAAAAAGATCCGTATCCAATTTCACAATGATGAAACCTAAATTAAATTGACCTAAAATTTCCATTTTGGCAAAAGTGTCCTTGCTAATTTCACGCTGTAATTCTTCTTCTGCTTTTAGATTTTGGCTGGGATTAATTTCACTTTTGAAACGTAAGCGCTCCAGCTTGGCTTTATTAGACTGTTTAAATTCAGCCTTTAACTTTTCCTCCGCTTTAATGTTGCGCTCGATTTCTGTGAGTGTAATACGCATAACTCCAGTAGAGTAGTACTTGCTAGTAGCTTCAACATCTATTAAACTATTATCTAACATTACAGTCGTTGTAGCAGACAATTGAGAACTTTTCACATCTTCAACTTCAACATTTTTGTTTATCGAATCCACCATATTATCAACTTTAGTCGACTCGTCTAGGTACAAAAATGATTCCTGCTTGTTAGATAAAATTTCACAATCTAGGCGCTCCACAGTCTTTTCAGTCAATGAGTCAAATTCTATAGGGAGAAATAATGTTTTTAACTAATAACTATGCAAGAAATCCATGGATTTTTTAGTTTTCGTTACAGACCTAGAGATTCTTTGTTTAGACGTTGTAAGTCAAGTAAACTATTGTCAAATGATTTCTGTTCATTCAATACAACATTTGAGACATTTGCCTTAGCTGGTTGGCTAGTTTCGTCATCATCACTCTCAGACTCCACTCTGAACTCTTTAGGCATATCACAATGTCTTGGATTTTCTCTATCTAAATATTCATGTATTTTCTTTAACTTTAACGTACGCACTTCGACTTCATCTGGATATTTTCGCTTTTTAGAGACCTGTGGGGCTGTGCCTACTGTATCGCCAGTTTTCTTCCATTGTGACAATACATCCATAAATCGTTGTGAACTGCTAATTGGCATATTTTCCATTGGCTCTTCACTGCTTACTTTTTCTTCAGCATCTTCATTTTGTGCAATTTTTCTGTCGTTTTCCAGCATGCTAACTATAGTAGAGTTTTGAAGTTTATATGTAGATGGTAAGTTGGCGTAGGTACTCAACAATGCCTTTTTGATAGCTATTGTCAATATTTTTTCATTGTGAATCAATAGCTGCCGTTTATCTGGAGTTAGATTTACATCCACGTCCGATCGTGAAGTAACGATGTTTAAAAATATAAATGGATATTGATGACTATTGTAGCGGTGATAAGTCTCATTCACAATTTTTGATATCTGAAAACAAGTGATGAAAGTCATATTTAACGGTGAAGCTGATGGAAAATCTTACACTCTTTGGATCACATGGTCTCGAGTTTATATAAAAATACTGGCGATCTTTGGACGATCGGCCTGCGCCGTGATTACAACTGGATACATATCCTTCCAACCTAAAACGTGATGATTTCAATTGAGTAAAATCTTCGGGGGTAATTTGGAAGTTATCGTCGGTTTCGAATTCTGCTTGTAAGCCTTTTTCGGTTAAAACCTGGTCCCCGCAGAAGATCGACTTTAAAGGCAAAAGCTCGGAAGCTTGACGATTGCCGAAAACTGCACCCACATTTGCTAGAACATCCTGAGTTCCGTGTGTTTGCATAACTACCATTTTAGCACCTTTCGCATTCTGATTAGTACAAATTATGCGAACACCTCGCGCAACTAAACAATATGCCTGTAAAATTTGACACATTTTGTTGAACTCTTTGCGAACGTTACGCGTAAAATCGCGACGCCTTACAGGTAGCGTCACAAACAAGTTTGTTAATGTAACCGTAGTACCTACACCACGAGCGCAAGGGGTGCGCTTTTTTATTTTACCATCATGATCGAGTTCCAGACGAACACCTACATATATATAAAATTAAACTCAAAGTATAATTTAAATAGTCCATTATGGTATTAGCATAAATATAACCCACCAACATCTTGTGAGGCATGTCTTGTAAGCACAAATAAATCAGACAAAGCGCAAAGGGAACTAAGTGCTTCCCCGCGAAATCCAAACGTTTCAACGTTTTGCAAATCAACAAAGTCTTTTATCTTTGATGTATGGTATTTGGCGGCTGCAATTAGAAAAGTTTCAATATAAACTTGAGTTAAAAATCAAGATGTCCTAACTCATAGCTTCGAGATCACTTTCACGAACTCCGCAACCATTATCACTAACTTCCAAAGATTCTAAACCTTGTTCCCGAAGTTTAATTTCAATAAGCGATGCACCGGCGTCGATGGAATTTTCTACAAGCTCTTTCACAGCCACCGCCAGAGTAAGCACAACCTAACAGGTGGTCATTTAAATTTACAATTTGAAACAGGGTTTATGGGTGTTTGATTTAAAGTATTAATATAGATACTACCTGGCCAGAGCAAATCCTATGCACAGTGTCCCTAGCTATGGCTTTAATTTCACCACATTGTTCTTTTGTTGGTTCATGTATTATAACTTCTTCTGCCATTTTATATATAATGAATAACAACACAATATAACCATGCACAATAAAAATAAATAAATATTAAATTAATTTTTGCATTCCTGATGCTAAGACATAGTAACGAACGGAAGCAACGAAACACATTTTGACATATGATACTAAAACGTTGCCAGATGATATATATGAGAAAATATATTTATTAATTAATATATCCTGAACAGAGTATTAAGTTTGCCACAGAGTTGTAACACCTTATAAAAAATATATATATATAACCAGTATGATGAGCTGAGTCGATTTATCCATTTCCGTCTGTCCGTCCGTCTGTATATACTCGTACATGAACTAGTCTCTCAGTTTTTGATATAGATATGGCATTTTGAAAACGTCCCTTTCTTCCCAAGAAGCTGCTGGACCACTATAGCATCTAGTACGTAATAGTAGTAGATATGAAAACTGTACGATCAAATACATGTTCTTATATGGAAAACTTTTTTTATTTAAGGAGATATCTTCACGAACTTTGGCACAATGCAACGAAATAATATACAAAAAAATTTTTTCAGATCGGGCTACTATAGTATATGACTGCCATACAAGGTAATCGATTAAAATCCAGTTCTTGTATAAAAAACGTTTGCATTTATCTTCACAAAATTAGGCACAATCTCCGAAAAATTTGTTCAGATCGATGACCGATCAAAATCAAGATTTTCAAGATATTTGTATACCCTTTTATGCTATAAGTAAGGCACCTGTAAAGGGTATTATAGCTTCGGTGCAGCCGTGGGTAAAGTTCTTTTTAATATTTGGTAGTGCTCTTGGAAAGTAAACCTGTTATTTATCTGATCTTTGGATTAAATAATTAATCAGTCCAACTAGTCAGTAGCATTCTTTAAAACTACTTGGGAAATGTTTTATTATAAGTCTTTATTTGGAATCACTTACATAATTATAAATTATAACGGATGCAGACTTCGATATTAGATTTATGAAAGAAAAGTAAAGCGATGTAATGTATAAATAACGGTTATATGAGTATCACTTGGGGAAAAATACATAAATGCTTACTATTAACTATTCAGTGATTAGATATTGTTTCTATAAAATGTTAACATGACCTAGTTTCCGTTAAATATGAGAATAAGTAGATCTTATTTGAATATTGGAATATCATATAAAATATAACTTATTTTTGTTTTCAGATTTAAATCTAAAGATACATACATATTGTATATTTTTTTATTGTAAGACAATACATCAAGGGACAAAATTAGTGTAGAAATTTTAACTATTTTTTAAGACAATTAACTTTGTGGAATTATAAATTTATGTCAACAAAAACTTTTCAGTAATTTGTGTAATTGTAAAATGTTAAATATTTAACTTAATAAATTATCAATACATCATTTTCGGTCTGCTTAATAATATAACAAAATTTTATTATATAAAAAAGATATATTTTCATTTCAAATTATTTACTCTTCTCATTTGCTACTTCTTCCAGTTTGGCAATTACTTTCTTCAATTCCATTTCCCGCGCTATCTTAAGGTACATTGTCTTCCGTACCTCGTGAAATGATACCCATGCAGCCACCTCTTTGGCCATAAGTTTTAAATGAGCCTCCAATTCTTGTGCCGTCAAACACGCACGATAACTATTTTGTATCTTTTTTATGACGATTTCCAACATTAGCACACCCTTGCGCTCGGTAATAAAAACGTTACGTAGATGACGTGCCAATTCTGGAAGACGTGAGTACATAGTGGCTTCCTGATCCTGTGAGGGTCGCCTTGTCATAGCATCTAGCGCTTTGGCTGCTTGCTTGGCGCGTATTTTCTCCAGCAAAGATTTAGGAACACCTTTCAATAAATTAGATGTGACATCTTTTCCAGAAACCGCTGGGATTTGGCAAGCCTCAGAAGCGTCAGTTGTCACTGTGGCCACAGCTACGGATTTGATAGGTGTCGCCAAACGATCTTTACTTTCACATATGCCCTCTTTTGTGACAGTTGTAGAGGTGACTTTAGAGGAATTATTTGCATTCTCTTCTGCCACCCGTGTTGCCTCCATCTTAGCTTCGTAACGTTCTAGAGCTCGCTCCATTGGTGTTGCACAGTTGAAAAGATTACGTGCTGTAGACAATATATCGCGCGCCGAAGAATACTTCTCCATATTTGGTGGCTGCGGTAAATGTGCGCAATCAATTTCTGGACAGTTTTCTAATTCAAAATCTGGATGCCAACGAGTCACTTTTGACTTAGGTATGCGGATTGGGGGATCAAGTGTGTGCAAGAACTTTTCGTGCTCATTTAAAACACGTTGCAGCAGAGTATTTGTAAAACGTTGCAAACGCTCAGTCATAACTTGCGGATTCATTACGCATGTTTGAGCCGCATTCAAAATATTATCGGCAGCATCATTTTCCTCTAAGATATGACTCTTTACTTTTTCCGACGACTTGCCGTCGACGTTTGGACAAATAACCAATTGGAAATAGTCCGCCTTTGATACGGAACCATAATTGCGCATTTTCATTTGTGAGAAAATGAATGCATCGGGATACACATGCTTAATTTGTGCCAAATGGGTTTCCGTGAAATTCTTACGCAGCATTCTTTGCACTGCCGGTTTTAATTTTTTAAACGTAATGCATTCCTTGCGATTGTGGAACATAGCGCACACAGAGTCCACTCCCTTGAATACTTCAATAAGATTACGATATTTAAATGGCAAAGGCAACTGGCCAGCTTTACTTGACTCGGCAAGGCTCATAAAGCGCTGGTAAGCAGGTGTCACCACAACTTTTGCTGGAGAACCCTGTTTTGCGGGGCTGAAGAGGATGCGTTTGGACACATCTGTATGACGTGGTGACATAAGCTCATTTTTATCTGGTGTTGGTGGTGGTATTTTAGTGGGGGTCTTGAATGTTTTTGCTGGACTGCAATAAAAACAAAAATATTACTTGCAGGTGCATTTCAAGTGATAAATAAATTTAAATAAATAATAATTCGTAAAATGTCTACCAGAGATAAAGTATGTTATAAAACTGAAGAAACTCATAGTTGAAACGACTATATAATGTATGAGTATATAGAACATATACAGCAAAAGGATTGATTTTAAGCAAAATACACTATATAAAAATGCATATACAAGTATCTATTCTAAGCCCAATATTTCAAATTTTTCATCATACACAAATGTTACCATATACAGAAGTATTTGCAGCCATTTTTATATTTAGATGCATTCTTTTATTACTTCGGGTCTGCTGTGCTGTAACAGATAAATTGTATGTATGTATGTGTATCTATCATCAAAACAAACTTCCTTTCGTTGTTGTTTAGCTACCTGACTTCACTTTGGAAGGAATTGTAAACCACGGCAACAACCGACCGTTACAAAAACATCCCTCGATACAAGGATAAAATATTGAAAGAAATAAATAACAAAAAATTGAGCATTGGAATGTGAAAGAGATAAGTAAAGTCAAAGTCTTGTAAGAGGAAATAAAAAGATTCTAGATATAATTTGGGTATACATTTGTGTGTATACATATATACTAGCATGTAATAAATAGGCAGGCAGTAACAAAAGAATGTAAACAAGAGTGTTTCTGCTTTTATTTGCTTCCAACTGCAACGCTAAGCAAAAGAAGCGTGCAAACTACTAGGAAGAGAACGAAAAAATTAAATGTTTGACAATGACGTAGAATATATGCATCGCCGTGAATTACATTGCTAACTGAATGACCATCAGACCGTTGGTAAATGCAGTGACAGCAGTTTAACACTCACTAGACTTCTATACCAGTGAGAGTAGTTAAATAAAAAACGAACTTAATGACCTCAATAACTTATCGGGTTATCGTTGTAGGCCACATACAGTATGAAAAATTGGGGAACTTTTGAATGACGTTATATAATATCAAAAAATAGGTTGGATTGGTCAGTTTTTTGAAACTTACCTAGTCAACACTTCCAATTCAATCGTATCGAATTCCTTAAGCTGAACAAGGGGTGTTGTTTTCTTTAATGGCGAGACGCTTTGACCATCACGTAAACGACGATTACGGTCTTCTTGTGCTTTACGCGTCTTTTCAAGATCTTGTATGCGTGAAAGCGAAGCTTTTAATTCCTGCAGTTTGGCACTACGCGATAATTTCGTCTTTACTTCATCGAAATTTAGTTCCTTCCGTACGAGACCCTTCAAGTCATCGTGCTTTAGTGGTGTAACACCAGAACCTTTTATAATTTGTTTAGTTGGAGTTTTAAGTCCTCGTAGTACATTTGTTACATTGTCTTTGGATGCAAAGGCATTTGCTATTTTTATGGCTGTATTAGCACTTGGCGTTTCTTCATTCTTCTTTTGCATTTCATTAATTGGTGTTGCCTTTTTCCTTGGGGACATTGGTCCCTTTTTGATAAATTGTACTAGTTTTTGTTGTTGTAATATAGTCTGTTCCTGTTTACACTGCTTTTTAAGCGGCATTTCGGCTGAGGATTGAATACCTGTACGCTTAATCGTACGTCCGGATCGAGTCCGAATACCCATTGCAGCTGCTTTGATGGCGGCGATATCGTCATCATCATTTGGGATTCCCGCTGCACCGAGAGTAGCAGAAGGGACAGCCGATTCATTGTCATCTGTTAATCGCTAATAAAATATGTAAAATTTGTTAGATTTATGCCGTTTCTATCATTTATCACCAAAGAGCACATTTGGCTTTAAGAGCATGTTCAAATTACATCACTCACACCCTTGAATGTGTACATGTCATTGTACAAACATACGCGCAATAAGAGAGTGAACAATTTTAAGGGTGAAATGCCTTCACATACAAAATGTCCGATTGACGATCCCAATAAGTTCGCCAAGGATATTGTCACTTTCTCAATTATACACTTTAACAAAAACAAATATTAATACTTTACTTACCCGACTTTTAATAGTACCCACTTCATCTGTCGCCACTCGCTTACGCGTATTAAAAAATGAAGCAATTGATGGCTGTGACATTATGTATTTTGGTAGATTTGTTTTATTTTATATTAAATATCGTCTTAATTGTTGAAACTTCACAAAAATGCACGTCTTCTTATCAATGCTCCGTAGCACATTAACAACCCACACGTCTTTACTTTATCCCGCTCAAATTCTGACTGACACGAATTTTCCCTCCAAAAGCATTCACAGAATGAACCGAACACCAACTCTTTGCGAAAGTTAAACACATGTTGTGAGCGTGTGTGTTAGTATTGTTTGTCACTCGCAGTTATTCAAGTGAGAATAGAATGTACTTATTAAATTAAAAATTAATCCTATTAATTTTTCAATAACTATACTCCCGAACATTATTAGTTATATGCGTCCATTCAAAAAACTTTATTATTTTCTATTATAATGAACCTTAATAAATTGCTATACTAGTAGTAGTATTTGGCGCGCAATTTCTTCCCCTTCGCGCGCTTTTGTTTTGGGAAATTTTTTACCAGATTCATTTGCTGGTACACTATTTTCGACTAAGTGCTATTTCACTCTATCGCAATGTATTCGTGCGAATTGTCAATTTGATATCAGCTGTTTTATGAATTAATGTTGACTCTCTCACTCATCCGTTTTTCACTCCTTTTCTATTCAATAATGTATGCAAAAAAAAAAAAAAAGAGCGATCTTGTAAAATATTGCGCATCAGCCACTAATTAACAAAATATTAATATATTTTTATTGCCTCTATACAATATTGGATAATTAAATGTAACTTTCATCACACAACTTCTAAAAGTAAACTTAGTAGAAGGGAAAAACAACGTTATTTCTTTTGTATTAAGGGATTGATAAAAGTTGGACTTTATTGCTAAATACTATAGCACAGAGTTGCTTTTATTATATTCCCTAATATCCCATAGTTGCCAGAACGTCTGTTTACTGTCCAAATTTCTGGTCAAAGTTGATTGTACCCTTATGATTCGATACAATGTTAAAAGCTTAAAATGTTTAAAATATGTAATTGTATACTACTTATTTATTTTATGTTTTTCTATATATAATTACCAATTTAAAAATGTTATCAGCAAATTATTTTTTACCATTTAGTGAATAACGCTAATGGCTTCAGAAATTTTCTGTTAATGCAATTGCAACTCTGATGGTAATGCAGCGACTCCAACCACATGCTTAAATTAATTTGGGTGAGAAGCAGAAAACATTTTCTGTAAGAAGTGAAAAGAGTTCTAGATGAAGCAAAGTTTTGATTGCTTTTCTTTCATCGCATTTCCTAAGTAAGTGTAGTCATTGGAAAAATCAGAATACTTCACAATTGTTACAGGTGGAAGTTTCCTCATTATAGTAACATTTTAGTTGATAAAAATATGCGAAACATTGCAAAAACACAGACGAAAGTAGTTGGCAATGCAAGTTTTTGACATACTCGTCGCTTGACGACATTCGCAAACGTATGGCTATCGAATTTGCGAAAACGAAATAGACTGTGTTGTAGTGAAAATTTGGCCAGATTTTGTTTGGGATAGAGAGAGATAGATAATATGATCTAATTGGAAGTTCTATATAAAATTTTGCTCGGTTTCGTTTTTGTTTAATTTCTTTTCCTATCACGAAAAAACTTGAGCGGAGAAAATCTTTTCAAGTTTAGTAAAAATTTTGATAGTTTAATTTTCAAGCTTGGAAATTTGTGAAAAATTGTCACAGTGAAAATCTTTGAATGAATATTCGAGTAGGCGGTGGACGTACTTCGAAAAGAAGAGACGAAACCTAGCCAAATTTATAACGAAGAAAAAATCTTACCAACTTTTCTCTTTCAACAATTTCTATAGTGCGACCAAGGAAATGGTGTGGCTGAAATAAAGATAGAAAAATATAATACGAAGACAAAAATTCAATATTTCGATAGAAGAAGACGTTTTCTCAAAACATTAAAACTATTCGAGAAAAAGAACTATTATCCATTTAGCATATTTGTAGCAGCTGGAGCGATATTGACCAAAAACAGTTTGCTATCATTCTGCAGTATCTGAAATAAGGGTAGCAAAAACAACAGCTGTCTACGGCAAAAGTAGCGGCAGCTAGCTTAAAGGCCATTGAAATGAACACAAAAGCTGACGTCAACAGGCGAGTTCTGGCTATACAAGCCAAGAAGAAACGACATAAGCCCAACAAGAAGCGTGGTAAACAGAATGGCGTGGTTGGTGGTTCCGGTACTAGTGTTGGTCAGACACCGGGAAATTCTAATAATAGCAACCCAAGTGGTGCTCCACCAACATCTCCTATTTCGCCTGAAGGTGAAATCACTGCGAAAATGTCTAAATCCTTTAGTGGAGCCCCATCTACAAGTGGCACAGGATCATTAGCTACTAATACGCCAGCTACAGGATCTACCAATAATTTAGACGATAGTTCACATCTGAGAAGTTCGGTGAATAACGTCAGTGGTGGCGTTGGCGGTGGCGCTAGTGGAGGAGGTAAAAAGTCCTCTTCTAACTATCAGCAGCAGTTGTTGCCGCAGCAGCAGCACCAGCAAAAGTGTATGAACAATTTCCATGTGCAGCAACAATTTCAGAATATACAACAGCATCAATATGATGATCCTCAGAATCAGCAACAGCAACAGCAACAGCAACAACAATATCAATACCCGCCACGCAGTTCATCGAACGATTCGGAAGATTCTGAATTGAATAGTGAAAACGAGGAGCAAGAATTGAAAGAAGACTACTGCAAAGGGGGCTATCATCCTGTGAATATTGGCGATTTGTTTCAAGGTAAATCTTAGAAATAATAAGATAAAACATAAGGGATTCGTTTGCTAAATACACGACAGTCTTTTCAAGTGTTATCAGTATTATGTAGCAACAAATACTGCATACCTATATGTGTAAATATGTATGTTTTAGTTTTTTTCTTTTTTTTTTTTAAGTTTAGCGAGCCAAGATATATGTATTTAGGATTTCGTTTACCGTGCTCGCATATATATGTATGAGTATATGTGTAAATGCTTTCTCAGGTACTCATTCCTCAACTGGCTTGTGCACGTTTCTTTTACTGAGCAATCAAAACTTTTGGGTTGGTTTTGTTCTAATCGATTACATTCTTGTTGTTATCATTGTTTTTGTGATATCGGCTGAGCGGCAACCAGGAAGTGCAAAAACATCAATCAAATGTATGCAGTGGTTGTTTTTTTTTTTACCTGCTTTAAACTTTTACATTAAAAACTATGTTTTCGTTTTAATATTACATGCATAATTACATACATATCTACATATGTGCAAGGTGTTTGGCTATTTATATTTCAGCGTTATTTCAACTAATTTGTGCCGGAACGCATTTCGAAGTCGACTTAATCAGTGGAATAGTTAATGTATCACGGTAAAATAATTCGCATGGCCTAAATTCGCGGTGGATTTGTTTTTATAATATTAGTAACTATTTAGGTTCGTAATTATATGCACATCTTTTAAAGATTTATCATGATGATATAGAAGCAATAAAAATAAACTTAATTATGACGTGATAACCACCGAAAGAACTTCAAACACACAATTTTAATTAATTAGGAAGTTTTTGCTAAAACACAAGGTTTTAGTATGTAAGAGCGTGGTTAAATAGATTTTATATAAAAATCCATAAAATTGCTACAGAAGCCAAAAAAATTGTATATTGATTTTCCACCCCAGCACAATAATCAATCGAGTAGAGTGATAGTTCAGCGATTATCGCAAAGTGTTCGCTCTTTTTTTTCGCAATTTGTCCAGTTAATTAAATTTGTGCACTTTCTCAAAAACACATCTATAGTTTATTGTGTCGTCTGTTCAGTGCGTTATATTGGTCGGTCGTTGGTGGCAAGCCAACAAAGCCGCGCCATGGCGGGCACTTGAACGAGACCACATACACTTGAGCGACGGTTGTCTTCGCCTTAAGCGCGAGAGGACTGAAGTGGATGGTGATGAGCTCATTGTACTACTTTATTGGTGAAGTGACATTGAAATGAGCTGCCACTAATCAGTCCCGTTTCATTGGCCATCTAAGCATATATGTACTTTAATATATATATACTTGTTCATACATCGCCAATTGTAACTTGGTGTAAAAATAAAAATCAAATAGTGTAACATATACCATTAAAATGGATAAATAAATAAAGCTGGAACGGGGTATGGCATGAATATATTTGTTGGTGCCGCAGAAGTATTGCTTAACATCAAGAATTTTTTGAAAGAATGTAAAGTCGATTACAACGGAATGGATTTGCTGCCGGATTGCACTGGTTTCTATGATCTTGTCTATTTATTAGGTGCATTCAAGTGTTTTACTTTGTTTTATGTTTTTAGTTTTGTGCATCATATAATGATAGTGCGGGAGTATCTGTTTCGGTGTCATAAAACATTAGTTGGTTATTTTCTATAAACAAATTAATACGTATGCGTGTACCTTATTATCTGCTACTTTGCCATGATTGTATACCGTTAGTTACTCTTTGTTGCTATAGAACAATCAATTCAGAAATTTACAAGCGTGAATTAAAAATGATTTTTCCACTCACAAAATAATGTAGTTGTTGTAGCATAAAATAACCCTGGAATTGTTTTGAGGGATTTCGTTAAGGTGACTGACCTTGGTCTATATATCGACCATACACATTAAATGAACAGTTGTTTAATTTTAAAATAAGAAGAAAATAAAGAAAACAGAAAATAAATAAATAAAATGTTGACATTCTTTACATATTCCATCTTTTTATAGGGCGTTATCACGTTGTACGCAAATTAGGATGGGGCCATTTCTCCACCGTATGGCTGTGTTGGGATTTGCAGGAGAAACGTTACGTGGCCATAAAAATCGTAAAATCAGCTCATCATTTTGCCGAGACGGCGAAAGACGAAATTAAGATACTCAAATCGGTGCGCGATTCGGAACCAAGCAATCCGCGTCGCCAGAAGACGGTGCAGCTGCTAGATGACTTTAAGATCACTGGCGTAAATGGCACACATATTTGCATGGTGTTCGAAGTGCTTGGCGACAATTTGCTAAAACTTATACGTAAGTCAAATTACCGCGGCATACCAATTGAAAACGTAAAGTCGATTACACGCCAAGTGTTGGAGGGTCTGGACTACTTACACACCTGTTGCAAGATTATTCACACCGACATTAAGCCGGAGAATGTGCTGCTTTGTGTCGATGAACAGTATGTGCGTTCGTTGGCTAACGAAGCTACCGAACTGTATGTCATGAATTATAAAATGTTTCCTTCGTTTGTAAGTCGGGCTCCCAAAGAATATCGCGAACCGCAAATTACTGGCAAGATGAGTAAAAACAAGAAAAAGAAACTAAAGAAAAAGGCAAAGAAACGTCTGGAGTTGTTTAAAAAGCAATGGGACTATCTGGAACAGAGTGGCGGTGGTGTGCAGGAGGGCGGAGAAGCGCCAGCCGAGGCTGACGATAGAACGTTGTTGGCCAACGATGGCTTCGGCGATGGCAACAAAGAGCAGCGTGCGCGCTTGAAAGGCGGTAAATTGGTAAATGGCGATGTGACTGATCCAGATGATGGTGATGAAGATGGCGACGATGAAGATGCAGAACAAGATGTTATTGCAGAGGACAATGCCGCAGATGGCGATGCAGATGACGACGATGAAGAGGAACAGGTGCTAGGATGCGACAGCAACAACTCAAATACGAATTCACCACGAAAACAACAGAAGCCTACGGCTGTCCACAACGCAACAGAACAAGTCATCACAAACAGCATTCCTGGCGAGAAGAAGAAAAAAAAGAAGAAAAATAAGAGTGAGTAAACATATTACATTATTCACATTATTCGTACCTATGTATATCATTTCTTTTTATTATATAATGATTATTATTTTTTTTATTGAAGAAAACTCAGGGCATCAGCAACAACATCAAAAGGAAAGAGAAAACCAACAACAGCAAAATGATAACAAATCATCATCGAGCAGTGATAGCCACACCATTAAAGACGAGTTGAATGACTCAGGTAGCTCTTCGCCGACCCTTAAAGGACAATCAGCAAATAAGAAAAACGCATCGACCAAAAATGCCACCGCAAAGGCATCGAAAACGCAAAACAACAACATAAAGAACAACAATAATACTAACACGTCGAATACGAATCTGACACCTCACATAAAACAAAATGCCAATAATAATGAGCAAATTGTTAATTGCACAGTAACAACAGCAGCCCCACAGCAATCCAAATCCGAGCCGGTTATATATGCGCCTGCATTAGCTTCACCTCCGGCTGTAAAGCCAATCCCTCGCAAGGACCCAGCTCTAGAACCCTGTAAGTTTGATGTTAAAATCGCCGATCTAGGCAATGCCTGTTGGGTTGACAAACACTTCACTGAGGACATACAGACTCGTCAGTATCGCTCGTTAGAAGTAATACTGGGTGCTGGCTATGATACATCAGCGGATATTTGGAGTACCGCATGTATGGCTTTTGAGTTGGCCACTGGCGACTATCTATTCGAACCCCATTCGGGCGAGAATTACTCACGCGACGAGGATCACATTGCACATATTATCGAATTATTGGGTCCGATACCCCATAATATAATCCTACGCGGGGCGTATGCATCGCAAGCATTCAACCGTAAAGGTGAACTGCGTAACATCACCGGCTTGAAACCATGGGGTTTGGTGGACGTATTATCGGAAAAGTACGAATGGCCACGCGCAGATGCAGAGTCCTTTGCTGATTTTCTCATACCAATGTTGGTATTTGATCGGACGAAGCGTGCAACGGCTGCGGAGTGCCTGAAGCATCCGTGGCTGAGATAAAATACAATGATTTGCTGTTGCGCGCATGCGCCAGCACCAAGCGTAACACCACCACCACCAGAGCCGACATTGCCCTCACCACTAACGCCATCTGCAACACTAATGTCACTGTCCCTGTCGCCATCACCATCACCGTCAACTGTGATGCATACCACGCACTTAATTTCCCGCAATGCCGCAAGTGGCATGTTGGCGGTAGCAGCTATGGCCGAACTGGATGTGGTACAGTGCACAGCGTTACGCAAGCCATTGGTGGCCACAAAAACCACTTCGCTACCATTGCCATTATTGTCGCATAAGCGCACCACGCGTTCGGTGTCGGGTGGTGCAGCGACACCCTCGTCATCGGCGGCTGCTTCGGCAGTTGGCCAAACCCAGTGCTGGCGCAACACGCTCCGGCGTATGTTTCAGCGCAAGTGACGTTGGCTGCTGCGTGCGCGACGGCGACGCCAACGTGAGCGCGCACTTTGGCATTGCCGTTGGCGTGGGCGGGGCAAGCGGCGTCGTGTGGTGGTGTTGGCGTTGGCGTACGCGCGCTATTATTGATAGTCGTTTAGATTTGGATTGAATATTTATTAAAAAAATACTAATAACAATAATAATAATTTAAAATATTAAAAATAATATGAATGAGGCGTAAATTAGCAAACGATGCACATTATATGGAGTAATAAGGAGGTTTCGTAGGCGGTGTTGACGCAATAGCCGATGCAGCAGAACGGGCATAACAGCAGAAAGAAAAAAATCACAGCAGCACAACAACAACAAATTACATACAAGAAATTTAATCAAAAAACATGTTCTCTCGTAGAGTTTTTATTTTTATTTATCATTATAATGTTTTTATTACTGTGCAATCCGCTTCTATATATACATAATTATTTTATTTATGAAACGGCAACCAGAAATAGAAGTAAATACTTTGTATCTTATTTAATTTAAGACAATTTGCTATTTTGCAAATTATATATATTTCCTTAGAAGAGTGGTTGGCTAGAGCACAAAAAGTTTGGAGATTCATAAGCAATTACGGACATTAATTAAACAATATATTCATTATATAGGAAACGCTTTGTCGCTGAGAAATTCGTTGTTCGATAAATATTTGAAATGCATGTAAAACGTTATATAAATCAATGAAAACTTATTTTTGACGTAAATTTTTATTTATTTATTTTTTTTTTATATTAAAATTAGGTGCTTATTATTCTTTATACAAGCGTTCTCTTTTCCATTGTTTTTTACGTTTTTGTGAGAAAAGCATTCCTTTTAGCTCCAAAATTTGCAATTGGCTATTTAATAATATTCCTTTGGAACTGAAAATCAATAAAACAATAAATTTCTATTTAATAAAATATTCAATATTGCTATTATCAATTGGAAACTAGTTCAACGCGCGAAGCAATCACATTTAGAAAGCCAAAATTTATAGCCTGTCCATCAGTATGTCATATTTCGCATCAATTTGTTAATAATGAGCGCCACGAACATTTACGAGGACGAGGTGGATTTTTTAAACTAGTGTGCTAAAAAAGGACTAGAAAATTATTAAAAGAAAATACCCTATAAACATGAAAGGCTAAACCTAAGACCTTCCCGGTTTATCCTTTTATGTTTGAATTAAAAAGTAATAAAAATTCTGCATTATTTTAACTCAGAATCAAACAACCTAAAATACAATTCGTTAGTTTTCAAGCACAATATTTTCATTTGCAAGTAATACATTTAAAAAACAATAAACTAAGAAATAAGTACAGTTTGTAAAATTGGAAAAAGGCTCTAAAAGAAATTGTGTAATTATTACAAAAACGTTTTTAGTTAAAATGGATACCATTCTAGATCATACAAAAACTTATAAAAGTTGCAATGAGTTTCCAGAACTGTTTGTTTCAAAGTATGAAACTGAACCTGAAGTTACCTGAAGTAACAGACATTGAGTTATCAGTAAATTTGTTTTGGTAATCATTATAATTCGTGACACTAAATTAAAAAAATCCTAAGTTAATCTGTAGACAAAATGTACAAGAATTTTAGTTTGAGATGTATTAACAATTACAGTAAATGCGAAGAAGTCGAAAATCATGTAACTTGTTAAAAAACATTAACTTTTTATACAGTACGAATATCAAATAAGGAGAACTTTTAACAAGTTTGCTATTTTACAAATACGAAGCCTGATAATTATGTGGTACATATACACAGTACATTTATTTTTGAACAGAATCGAACCGAATATCTTACAGTTGAATAAGAAATTTAAAAATAAAAAAATTCCTCCATTTTTTTTGTTTTTTTTTGCTTAACCAGAACTAAACTGTAATGACTGAATATGTACGAAGATCAGAGTCGTTCTATATTCATGTGCATACTCTTAGCTAAAACAGCGCGAAACGGAAAACTGTTAAACGTAAGCTTTATGTGAATTACTTTATTTTAAACATACTGTTATATTAAATGCAAAATGATTTATATATGTATTATAATTAGATATCAGTAAAGCTATAGTAAACTATATTTTCTTCAATAGACAAAAAATTGAATTCATTGGATTTAGATGTTTAAACTGCCCGTTTGGAAAAAATACCTTGTAGATAAGAGGTAGAAGAGGTTTGCGTTTCCGGTTCCAAACCATTTGAAAAAGTTGTATAATCTAAAACTAAGTGAAACGCCTCAAACCTTTGCACAGTATTTATAAAATTGGAAGTGTCTGTGGTCATTCACGCGGACGTATACAAATTTGTTAAAAATGAGAGGTAAAACATAACGACTTTGAGATTACAATGTACATTACAGTAAAAAATGCTAACGGTATTTTAAATTGTAAGAAAATTCTAACAAATATATTCGCAAAAAATAAATACATGCAATCATAAATGAAAGCAAAATGGACCGGAAATTCAAGAATAAATATACATCAATGCAAAATAAAAAAAATAAACAATCATACATACATATGTAATTATGCTATGTCGTAGTGTTATTTAGTGTTAGTGTTGAATTATAAACGAAAATATGTCCAATTGGCAAGCGTCGAAAGCGTCGAGAGCGTTGCCGGAGGGCGGATGAACAAATGAAAATCATTAAATCTGTGTGTAGTTGTTAACTCTTTGATGAAAACAGTTGTGCGATGAATAAATATATATATATAGGCATACATATGTATCAAGACCTCAATTCAAATCCATATAATTTGTAAGTGGCGTGTACCCTAATGTTAAACATTAGTAAGAAGAATAAATATTAATAAGAACACACTTACACAAGTAGTTAATTATGTGGCACCGGATAATGATTACGAAGGCAGGTCCTGCCAATGATTTCCAAGTGAATGCCAAAAATATTCGTTTCGAATTCGAGCCATTAATACTTGAATTCTCCTTTCTTTGCAATAAACTAGTGGAGAGGTGGTCAACTTAGAAAGGGAGTGAATATTTGAGATACTTCGAGCTGGAAAAATTATACAAAAACAAAATCACAACGCAAGGAGCCAATAAACCATATGATAATGACAAAAACATATTGGGTTTTGCTCTTTAATATGCATTGGCACTCAAAAACTTAGGTCTGTCGTAAAAAGAGGTCTGTATAAAAACAGATACAGAACAATTACAACTTAAATTTTAGCCCTTCACGTTTTTTATAGTGACTATAAACTAGTAAAAAGTAAAATTTCGGAACATTCTCGAACTTACTTCCAGAGTACCGTTCCTTCAATCTTGAGAACAACAGTTCCCTAAAAGCACCCCCGCGTAACGTTGCTGAAAAACATTGCTAGCGATTCTTCAGTGTAGTTTGAAACCGATTAAACATACATAGATATTTACAAGAGCAAACATGAATAAAATAAAAAAATTTAATCTATTTTAATGCATCAAAAAAAAAATATATATTTAATATGTAGATTCTTAGTAGAATTGGATAATAATGCAATTTATACTTCTTAATTAACCAAGAAAAATAGCGGAAATGCAGGAAATTTAACGAAGTATCAAAAACAATCATTAATGGTTTTAAAAGGATAAGGGCCACAAAGAGTCTTTAAATCAAAAATAAAACATTAATAATAACAAATAAAATATAATAGATATGCATACGTATAAATAAAAATACATAATTAAATTAATGAATAAATTCAAATTTCGATCTCGGTAAAGCAAATTGAACATAATTTTTTTGCAGAAATTGAGGTTAAGTTCGAACATAAATAGTATAACAATAATTTTTGAAATCAGTTATTCGGATAACGTACCGATGATTGCATATGCATAATGAACAAGCTGGTGCACTTGGCTTCTTCTAAACGCAGTTCTCCCCAGGACCTAGATTCATAATAAACTAAAATTATAGTCACACTTGAATACTGATAAATATACATATATAAAGCAGGACAATTTGCTGTTTTTTTTTTAGCTTTTTGGGGTTATGTTTGGAGAATTGCTGTTTTTTCAAAACTATTACAACCTACATGAAATCTACATTTCAGAATTTTACTTTTCCTCAAGACATTGCACCGATGCGATTAAGTCCACTGTGTGACCAGCTTTTACATATTTTTACTACAATCATTGCAAATGCAAGCCAATGTTACCAACAAAATATATTGGTTTGTTTGGTCAAAACGGCTTTTCTTTCTCATAACTGTTAAAAATTAACGATGATAATTATGTATATTCGTATGTAAGCATTGTATTTGTATGTATTAGCCAAGTGGCCTTATGAATTTGATTTGAATACACCAAGACAACTGCACAGCCACTTTAATGCAAGAATAATAACAAAATCCGCAATCGAAATGAAAATATACTCGAATCTTTTGACTTTGTTATTGTATTTAACTGCGTATCTGCGAGCGATGCGACGAATTAAACTTGAAACGTAACAGATAATCGCAACAAATGCTTTAAGTGGTATTAGAAGATGTTACTTTACAAACGCATAGAGTATCTTAACTGCGGTTCCCCCAATTAAGTATTTACATACATACATATTTATGTATAGCAACTTAGGTGTTAAGCTGGTTTAATATTAAATATATCAAACGTAATAACGGTCCAATATTACAACAAAACACTTAAAATAGCAAGTGGAGCTATAAAAAAGAGTAACGGTAAATGTAAAAACCTTCCAAGCATTTAATTAGAAAATGTCATCAATTGATCCAAGTAAGAATCGTAAGAAAGTAAACAGAATGAAATAAGTAGATAAATAATAATTGAATAAATTAGGTAACTCTTGGAAAACCATGCTATAAAAAGTAAAAAAGAAAAATAAAAATAAATATAAAAATAAAAAAATAAAAATAAGCAGTGGTTATAGTTGAAAATAATAACAGCGGCATTTTAGCTAATTTATTTGCCTATAAACTGTAAGATAACAGACGATAAAGCAACAATACCTACACAAATGTAACCCCTAAGAGGGAGAAAAAATAAATTAATAAGTGATGTGACCGCATACCTACATACTTACATACATATGTACAAGTATAAGTATATGCAAATCCATGAAATTGCAAATGAAAACAAAAAACTCCAATCGGCCGAGTAGTGTTAAAGATATCGAAATGCGGAACACACAAGCACACAAATAATTACAAATGGATTCGGTAAAATATCACACACCAGCAAGTTAAAGGTAAAAATGTAAATGCACCATAAAACAATGTTAAGAATCGGGAGAGTTTGAGAAAATTGTCACAGTGTCATAGTTGAGAACATTCAGATTATATATAAACAACACTAACACAATAAAGTAAATAATTAAACTTAAAACATTCGTAACTGCTTTTTAGTCGGCAGGGGGATAGCTGGGTGTGTATGTGGGGCACAAAGGCTTCAGACCCAAAACAAATGCTTGTGATTCTGGTCATTATTTTTGATTTTTTTTTGATAGATTGATATTAGTATTATATTAGCGAGTATTTCGGGTGCTCCCAGTTACTCTATGAAGATCGGTAGTGGCCAAAATTAGAAGATTCCGATGGAATAGCCGAACAGCTAAAATAGATGGCAGCAAAAGAAACGCTACTGAAGTGCCCTGATATGAATATAACGACGACTGCCTTCCGCTTGGTGGCAATCCACCTTAATGTTAAATTGTTTTGATGCCAAGAAGTCTGTTCGTAGATCGGTTTTGCTATATTTATGAAAACATATTGTAGAAAAAATTATTTTTTTGAGCCACTGTTAAGTTATAATGAAAGCTTACCATTTCTTTGAGGCTACATGCCATATTTTTGTAGGATTTTCTTTTCTGCAGATACATATGTACACACATAACGGCTGTGATCGTGATACTTCTCTTCTCGACACAAGTGGGAAAAGGAGGATTGCGCTGTCTTTTGAATCACAAGAGAGGGTCTTCTATTATTTACTGAACATAGAACTTCCTATTCCAAGCTTAAATTTAACCCAGCTGAAAAAAAATTGTTTGGAATGAAATTAAGCAATTTTCAACCGATAGATTTGAAATATCAATTGAGTTAAATGAAAGCCTGTACTACCTTAGTACTCATATACGATATAAATATATATGTATACGATGGTATATGTTATATTGTGTGAATATAAATGTGTTTTGTGCAAAAAAGCAATGCGTTTCACACATCGTTTGGTGCGACGCGTAGCTGCTCAATAGTACGAGTATCTAAATCCGTTTGATGACAGCTGTTCAAGCGCTTTAGGTTCACCATTATCCACCGCCCTTGACTCCCTTTTTAAGTAGGCACTTAAATATTATGCATGCTTTGTTTCCTTTAGTAATTTATGCTCTCCAGCTATCGAATTACTTTGGCCGTGGCAGAATTGTGTGAACTTCATAGCCATAGATTCTTGAAGCGCTTTGTTTTGCATTCGACATATGTGGTTAGGTAATGGCTTATGCTTGATATTTCTTATTAAGTGAGTATTAGTGGTTTTCTGCAGATTTGAGAAGCGCTAATTCAGTTATATGTAAATGTGTTCATGCTTGAATCATCGTTAAGTTAGTTAGTTTGTTCAATTGTCAATAGATAAATCATATTTATTGAAATCTGTAGAATTGTGAGAGTCGTAACACAACAATCCCTACATGCCTGAATTTTTCTCGTTCAAATAGTAACTCGTGTCTTGTAAAACCATTATTTATTGAAGCAATCAGTTTGTTCTTTGACAAGCGGTGCTGAACTGTAGAAGTGGTTTGACAATAACATTTTAATGGCAACATTAGTGATTATTCTAAAACCAGAAAGGGAGAAAAGAAAATGGGGGTTTACTGTAATATAACATCCGGCCACTTTTGACACATGCGCATTAGAGCATGCTCTCCACTCTCCAGCTCGACTGCTTGTCTTTTTCCAGCAGCTTACAGTGCAGCGAAAAGTATGTGTACCAGTGAACTGCAAGAAAATATTCGGAGTTTAGTTTGTAGCATATGAAATCATATTATATTTTACACTAAATACATGTATACTTAGTACATATATAATATAAATATGTAAGGTTTTAAGATTATATTCGGTTGGATGATCATAATCATATTACTGTCATCGCATTTCGTCTGACTTCTTCTCTTGGCTTAGATTTCTCTAATTTCAATACTATAGCTTCTAATTTGGGCTTTGCCAATAGTTGTTTTTCTTCTTAAAATAAGTCTATGTGTCATGACTATTTTGTAAAATTAAGTAAACTCAGATTTGGTAAATTTAATATAATGAAGAAGAATACTATTC